GGACACGGACCAAGCGTTGTTCTCCCCCCCCCGAGCATCCCCCCGCCGCATCCAGCGTTGCCCTCCCATCCAGGGTGTCGTGTGACAAGGGGGAAGTTGCTCCCCAGGCCAGCTCCCGGGGCCAGCTCAGGCCGGGCAGAGCGCAGTCATCTCCACGCCAGAGAAGGAGCAACGGCTGGCACGGGGGGAGCAGCCAGGCTCCAGTTCAGAGGTGCCGTAGTCCAGCAACACCTCCCCAGGAAACCCTCAGCACACTCGGGTTTTCAAGTGATGCTGCCAGCCTGGCGGGAGAGAACCTGTGCGTTGCAGCAACCCTACTTCGGCTGAGGAAGAATCATGGTCCCCAGAAACGGTCATGGGTAAAGGTGAGCATCCCCGACTCATGCTCAGCATCTTCGCTCCCTCCACAGCAACCAAAGACCTGAAACGGCTTTGGGATAAGAGCTTTGGAAAACTCTGAGGTGTCAGGGCGGCTGAGCTGCTCACCTGGAGGGGCGATGGCCAGGCAAGGGGGGAAAGCTCCTGCAAGGATGGGCACCGAGGTGACAGCCCCAGCGCCTGAAGACCTATTTCTTCTGCCAGGAGTTGTGAATGCAGCCACGCTCCTCCTTCAAGTCACCGTGGGAGTGATGAGGCGCCAGCCAACAGGCTTTCTGGCTGGAAATCCTAATCCCAGCCCAGCTTTCCATAAACCAGGAGGCCTTCTGGGCTCAGCCGTCTCCGAGGCACAGGAGGGATGCAGTGATGGATTTGGCTCCGAGAGCTCAGTTCTCCCCAGAAGCCCATGCTGCGGCTCCTGCCCCAGCTCTGCTGTCCCTCCCCAGGGATGAGACCCAGCTGCAGCCACCCCTGCAGCTCCCTGGGGACAGATCGTTCTCCCAGGAATGATCCCAGGGAATATTTTCCCTGGAAAACTCCCCCAGGAAATCCCCAGGGAATATTTGCCACTGGTACAGAGAATTGCTCCAACGTGGCCCTGCTGGTACCCTGAGTGCCCAGCAGTGGGTAACTGCTCCCCCCTCAGCAGATGGAGAGGAGATAAAGAAACGGGAGCACCAGGGCTGCGGTGGGCAAGGGGGACACAGGCGAGGACACTGCACAGTCAACCAGTTAATTCCATTTGTATTGTTTCAGATACAAGCGAGGTACTGCTTTCCAGCAAGGGTGCCACCGCGTAAGGCTTTTGGTTTGTAACACCAGGCTCTGCCTACAAAAATCCCTGACCTCAAAACCGACCGCCCTAGGCTGTTCTGTAACTGCACTTTGGTTATCTGGGCTTTAATGACTGACCTTAACGAACAAGGCAGAGCACATCCCTCCACAGATCAAGAAAATCCCCTCTAAGTCTTCAAATCCCGTTAACAAAATGATGGTGCAGACAACGTGACCAAGACAGGCTCTCCCACTCCGCTACCCGCAGGGAAACCCACGTCCTGTTCCTCCAGGATTTACC